AGCCAGTTAGACCAGCTTCCCTTCCCAGCAGGCTCTCTGGCTAGGAAGGAGCAAGATCTGGCCAGGTGCTCACTTACACCAGGAGTGATTCAGATAGGCTTGTTGCCTCATGGTAGGCAGCCTAGCATTGCAGACGAAGATTCTATGGGTGCCAAGCATACTTCGGGGCAGCAGTGTGGTTGACACACACATCCTAGAGGGATGTGAAGCGTGACAAAGAAGTCTTCCCATCTATTTTCCACCCCAGTAAAGCAGCATGTGTCATGATGCAGGATGCATTCGGCTGTGTCTAACAACTTGGATTTGTATCCAAGATCTGTGACTCCGAAGCTGTGTTATCTTAGGCAAATAGTCTCTCTGTTTCCTCATCTGAGACATAAAGTCAACCGAAGGTTTACTATAATGGCTGAATGAGTTTAAATTTAGAAGGCCCTCAGTGCCTGGCACATAGTAAACAGTTAACAGAAGCTGCTCTTTCTCTTTTTTTTTTTTTAAATTTTAGTCACCAAGCGCTATGTGAGTTGTTTCTTAAAGTATGTATCAGTCCGGCATGGAGCAGGAGTCTCTGAGCCTTTTTTCTTCAGGACCCCATCTAATTTTTAAGCCAGCCAGAGAAAAGAAAGGGCGAGGAACAACAAGGTAGAGGTGGGTATGTGCTGGGCCTAATTGTAAACAATCTGTTGGAAGCCCCTGCTCTGGGATGCAGAAACATCCAAGTTTCGTGGGGGATAATATGCAGAATAGAAGCGATCTTACTGTGGCTCTTCTATGTTTCCAATTGAAAAGTTTGTGGTGGACAGAGGAAAGAAATAGAACCAGACAAAGAAAGAAAAGGAAAACACACTCTCTAATCAGAGATACCACAGCCTTCATGTGTTAAGTATTTAAATCAACCCAGGACTTCTTTGGGCATTCTGTGGCTCTCCAGGTAACCACATTGGGGAAATTAGGTAGGGATAAAGTCATTTGAAGGTGGAGTGACTTTTCTCTTCTGCCCAAATAATCCTGATCTTCTGTTATCAGAGCATGATAGAACGCTACTGAAGCCTTTGCTAGGACAAGTGCCTGGTGCTCCCTTACCCCTGTAGTAAAAACTTGAGGGCACACCTCTTGTCTATCTTTGCTTTCTCTCCTACCAAGTGCTTTGTTTACAACACTCTAGCACTCTGCAGATTTTGTTTTAACTTCCTGATTGGATTCTGGGAGCTTATTACTAGAATAGTTCAAATAGCTCTGCTCCACGTGGGCACTCACCCATTTGCAGTATTCCTAGGATAACCAGGAATGCAAGTTGAATTCGGAAAGGCTGTGCTGGAATCCCTTCAAGGGCCCTCATCTCCAAAGCTGCTTACATCACCAGCCAGTCACTCATCAGAGTAGAATGGAGCAGGGGAGGAAGTCGATCTGACCTCATTTGACCTTTGGCAGATAGCAGACTAGGTTAGAAATTCATGTAAGTGCATCATCAGGAGCAACACCAGGAAGACCATTCTGTCTCCCCCATACCTTTGTGCTTAGTGAGACTCCTAAAAGCTGTCACCGCTGACAGCTTTTGTAGTAAGGTTACAACAAAATACTTGAGGCCAGATATCTTATTAAGTAAAGAAGTTTATTTGACCCAGAATTCTGATGGTGGAGGAACCTAACTGACAGCACAGGCCTTCTCCTAAGGGCAAATAGATTGTGTCAGCAGAATGGAGAAGCAGAATGGGCACTTATCAACATAGAAGAAGTCAGTATATAGAAGGGCCTCATTCCTAACAACCCACTGTCAAGCGAATTGGTCAGCCACCACCTGACTCACTCCCAGAAAGCAGCACTGATCACTCATGAGGGCTGAGCCCCCTGATCTAGCTATTTGCCTTTAGATTCCACCTATTAAACCTCCTAACACCCCAATACTGCCTCACTGGGTCCCAGATTCCAGCATGTGAATCATTGGGGGATGAACCACAGCAAATGTTAGATGCCATCAGCCTGCTTCTAGATTTCATCTTGACTTCTAAAAATGAAAGGCAAAAGTTAAAAGCTTATGGGGACACCCCTGTAGTACCACTGCCACAACCAGAATTTCTAGTCTCGAAATATTCCACACTAGAACTAAGCATTGTTTAAACATGATACACTTGATTTGTGAATGGAATGAGGAATAGATTGACAGCCAAATACATCTTGTCATGGGCTGGAACAGCCAAGTGTTTTAGGTTCCCCCCCATTTATTCTTTGCTATAATATGTATAGACTATTTATTAGAATATGGGAAATTGATTGTCTATGCTTTTCACATTTCCTCTTAGCATTTTCAACTTTTCAAGATTCAGAGGACTGTAGAATTTGGGGATCATTTCCTTCTAAGCCTTTATTATATAGATAAAATAACCAAGCTGGAGAAAGCGAGTGACTGAGCCATTCCCCATTCTACTAAGGCCAGAATAATCCTTCTGATATCCTTACTCCCCGGTCTACTCTCCAGGTGACCCTTTATTCTGCTCCAAACTGCCATATCTTTGGAGTGTGGGCCATCTCTGTATGAGAAGAATATTCCACTTGCAAAGACTTAGGATCCAAAGCATAGGCATTTTGGTTGCTGACTAGCTAGCTACTTCCAACACTGGAGCTGCCAACAAAACCCCTTCTTGTGTTTTCTAATGAACTCAGCTCACTGCCAAAGGGTCAAAGAGCTTCAAACATAGGGAAAGGGAAGCCAGTCTCGTGAGGCTTGCTGTCATAGAGGCCACATTGGGAAGGACGGGGGGCTCCCTGGCTGGCAGGAGGGCAGGATTGCAGCACAGTGGCACGGGTGGACCTGCGGACAGTCCAGGAGGAGAGGGCACAGCTCGGGCCAGCGCCAGGCACATCCCAGGGAGAGCAGCCATCCCAGGGAGAGCAGCCATCCCAGGGAGAGCAGCCATTCTACCAGAGGTTCCAGCAAGTTGAACAGATCAGAAGGAACCAGAGTGCACATCACTGCCGTGGGACATAAAGGAAACCAAAAAATTCCCCAAGCCTGGGACTAATGGGTGCCGTTAGGGCTTTCACTGAGAGTGATCAGTTCATCATGCGCCACACAGCTCACAGATGAAAATAAACCGGCCACCATTTCTATTTTAATAAAGGGCAACTATGAGCTCGGAATTCATATTTAATATCAGTGTACAAAGGATTTACGTTTTTATTCCTATGCTAGTGGTTCATACCTATCATCCTCTTTTGGAGGCTGAGTTTGGGAGGATTGCAATTCAAGCTTCAGTTCAAGTACACATGTGAATCCCTTTCTTAATCAAAAGTTGATCATGCGATCACATATCTGTCATCCTAGTTCCATGGGAGACTGAGATTAGGAGGCGGGGGAGGCTGGGATTCTAAGCCAGCCTATGCAGAAAAGTCCACAAGATTCCATCTCTACAAAAAGAAACTAATCGCAGGGCACTGGTGGCTCATACCTGTAATCCTAGCTACTCAAGAGGCTGAAATCTGAGCAATGCAGTTCAAAGCCAGCCCAGGCAGGAAAGTCCGTGAGACTTTTATCTCCAATAAACCATTCAGAAAACGAGAAGTGTGCTGTTGCTCAAGTGGTAAAGCACTCGCCTTGAGCTGAATAGCTGAGGGAGAGTGCCCAGGCCCAGAGTTCATGCCCCACAACCAACTAAAAGAAGAAGAAGAAGAAGAATGAGGAAGAGGAGGAGGAGGAGGAGGAGGAGGAGGAGGAGGAGGAGAAGGAGAAGGAGGAGGAGAAGGAGAAGAAGGAGGAGAAGGAGGAGGAGGAGAAGAAGGAGGAGGAGGAGAAGGAGGAGGAGAAGAAGGAGGAGGAGGAGGAGGAGGAGGAGAAGGAGAAGGAGAAGGAGGAGGAGGAGGAGAAGGAGGAGGAGAAGAAGGAGGAGGAGGAGGAGGAGGAGAAGGAGAAGGAAGAGGAGAAGGAGAAGAAGGAGGAGAAGGAGGAGGAGGAGAAGGAGAAGAAGGAGAAGGAGAAGAAGGAGGAGGAGGAGAAGGAGGAGGAGAAGAAGGAGGAGGAGGAGGAGGAGGAGGAGGAGGAGGAGAAGGAGAAGGAGGAGGAGAAGGAGAAGGAGGAGGAGAAGGAGGAGGAGAAGGAGAAGAAGGAGGAGAAGGAGGAGGAGGAGAAGAAGGAGAAGAAGGAGGAGGAGAAGAAGGAGGAGGAGGAGAAGGAGGAGGACAAGAAGGAGGAGGAGGAGGAGGAGGAGAAGGAGAAGGAGAAGGAGGAGGAGGAGGAGAAGGAGGAGGAGAAGAAGAAGGAGGAGGAGGAGGAGGAGGAGAAGGAGAAGGAAGAGGAGAAGGAGAAGAAGGAGGAGAAGGAGGAGGAGGAGAAGGAGAAGAAGGAGAAGGAGAAGAAGGAGGAGGAGGAGAAGGAGGAGGAGAAGAAGAAGGAGGAGGAGGAGGAGGAGGAGGAGGAGAAGGAGAAGGAGGGAGGAGAAGGAGAAGAAGGAGGAGAAGAAAGAAGAGGAGGAGGAGGAGGAGGGGGAGAAAGAAGCAAGCAGCAAGCAGCAGCAGCAGCAGCAGCTAATCATGGTGACACTCACCTTGTAGGAAGCAAAAAAAAAAAAAAAAAAAAAAAGGCAGATTGTGGTACAGGTGTAGACTTAGGAAAAGAATGAGATTCTATCTCAAAATAACCAGTACAAAAAAGTGAGTAACTAACCCCTCCGTATGGTATCCTTACAATTATATATATACATATATAAGACTGAAGGATCGTCTCAGCAGTAGAGGGCTTACCTAGCAAGTGTGATGCCCTGAATTAAAACTGCAATACTACCAAAAAAAAACAAACAAAATACAGATTTGTTTTCTGTAAGCACTTTCTTCAGCTTTTTTATACCATAGTATCTACAGGCTGCAGCCGATAGAAGGGGACGGTTGTTTATTTATTGCTGGAATGTTTATTATCTTTAGTAGTCAGAGAAAAGCGATGCCATTCAACAAAGCAGTTTATGAAGACAGTGCACCTCAATCCATGTCACGCCCCACCCCTTCCTTCACTTTTCTTAATTTTTAGGTTATATACTGAAATTTTTTGCCACTTAACAAAGCAGTTTATGTGTACAAGACATCTTAATCTGTGACATCCCGTCAACCACTTCACCCTCCTTCCACTCACCCCTTCCCTTATTTCTCTCAATTCTGTGGTGTAGCCAATGAATTCTTGCCTGCATCCTTTGCCCTATACCCTACATTCTTCTACCCCTCTCTGCTTGGCCTCACCCTACCTACTTGAAAGGATGCATTTCCTGGTACTTATTTTGTTAGACAGTCTTTTAATTAAAAGACAAGAAAAATATTTTCATGTGGTGACATTTGCTGAGTTCCTGGATTCCATGAACACAGGAATTTGCTCTGGGGGCCCACATGAATTCAAAAGAATAATGAAAATCTCAACCTTTTCTTTAGCCGAAATGTATAAACAAACAACTTTCTACAAAATCTGGGTATGACATCATTCTAGAACTTTGTTTAGTGGCAGGTAAAGTGGGCTTCACGGCTCTATTTTCAGAGCAAGATAAAAGGTGGGTCTTTGTGAATCACTTGGTGTGCTGCTATTCTGGTCACCCATGTGGTGGAGTTTGGCTCTGCTTCTCAATGGCACTCAAGAGGTTTTCCAAATAAGACCCCACCAAGGGTTGGGACACTCTGAGTCTGAGCATGCCAATTCAACAAAATGTCTTTATAAGTTGTGCAGTTGTGTTGCATGCAAGGAGAATTCCAGTCCTTTTTTTTTAACATCCGAAAAACTTGCCACACTGTAAATTCCACTCTCTCTTCCTGGAAATTCATCCACTATCTTGTAGTTGAACAACTCATGTTTTCAACTTTCACATGCTCTCATTTCAGCCCCAATTGCAACACACTAGTATTTGACTTTCCTTTGGCTGGAGTCCCTTCCCTTCTTCGGTCTTCTGTCTTCCAATCCTGGCTATGCTCTGATTATCCATTGAGCCCCTGGGTCATTGCTAGAATTGCTTCTTCACTGTAGACAAAGGGTAGACTTTACTCTGCCATGCTTCTGATATTGACAGTGCCACTGTGTAAATAGCTTTTACAGTGCTATTAGAAAAGTGTTCTGGTGGCCTCATAAGTTTTAACCACAAGAGTATAAATTGACAGAGCTATCTGCATATGCTACCCAGGATGGCAAGAGGGGACAATGATGCGATATTGATCAAAACCTGACTCTAGGTCTGATAATGATAATCAGCTATTCTATTGATGAGCCAGATATTTAGTAGAGTATCTGTTGGATGCTAGGTACTTTCTAAGAACCTGGGATTTCTAAGGCCCTGGGTTTGATTCCTCAGTACCACATAAGCAAAAAGAAAAAAGCCAGAAGTGGCGCTGTGGCTCAAGTGGTAGAGCACTAGCCTTGAGCTAAAGAGCTGAGGGACAGTGCCCAAGCCCAGAGTTCAGGCCCCACAACCAGACCTCCCCCCCAAAAAATGCAGATCAAATCTTTCCAAGAATACGCACCTGTCAAAAGGAGTACATAACTTCACAGAGGAGGAAAAGAGTCAGGAAAGGCAATATGGGGGATCTCAAGCCCGGTCTAAGTATTGAAGGATGAGAAAGCATGAGTTAGTCATACTTCTGTTTTTTGTCAAGTGAGAGTAGTGGTGGTAGAAAGAAAGGAGGAGGCCTCAAAACAAATAGGTGGCGTTTATCTAAGGGCACAGGAGCTAGAATAGCATGGAGGTAGGAGGTTATTTAGTAATTTCGAAGTCCCAAATATGAGCTTGAGCCAGAGAGGGAGACAGAAGCTCCCTTGGTGTGGGGCGAGAGGGAAGTGGAGCTCACCCCATCCCATCCCAGGCCCATAAAGATCCAAGGAGAGGCAGACAAAGAGATAAACATCAGAAAGTTCTCCCTTAGGATGCTGTGACTTCCGCTTTGGACTCACGCTGTTCTCATCTGCAGCAAACCTGTGATAAAACCAGCATGGATGGGTGTCCTTTTTGTAGAGACTGAAGGCAAGAGAGTAGTGAAACAATGAAAGCTCAGCTCTGAATCTGGCCCAGGAGCAGATGAAGCTGATTTTCTTAGCCCTGGCAGACTTGACTTTAAAGCCCAAGGAGGCCTAGAATATTGGGAAACCTTGCTTCTGCTTCTTTCTCGTAGGTTAGACCAGTCAGACTGCACTGGTTACTAGAAGCTATCTGAAGATGCCTCTTATTGTGTGAGATAGGAATTGTCCAGTCCCATGACAGGCCTTGGGTCACCTGCTGACCACAGGCTGTTTTCCTCTGAATCATAGAAGCACAAGGACCCAGGAGGGGCTTCCTAGCATACCCTGATTGTATTTTTGAGAAAACAAATACATCAAGGCAATTTGTGGGAAAGAAATTAATCAAGTGGACTCAAAGGTGAATGGATAAACCAATAATTTATGTGGTGCTTATAAAGACCCCCTCAGAGTCATCAAAGAATAAAAAAATAGCTCCATATCAAATCTGACTTTCTTACTATTTTAAAAATGTGTTTGAGGCTTCAAATATTGATCATTAAATTAAGACAGGAAAAAATTATTGGGTGCTTATCCTATATCCAAAGAGAAGAGCTGAAAGTGACTTTCATTTTCTGGAAACATAGATTGAACTTTAACTTAGAAAAAATGCCAAGTGGCTTTTGCCATCTTTCTGGTGCTCACACTACTCTGGGGGTGGGGGGGGCTTACACACCTGCGTGTGAGCTTGACTCCCTGGTCCCAGCCCATGTCTACGTCACAGTCCTGGGCTGCAGGGCTCCTAAGCCATCTTCTAAAATGATTACCAGAGAACTGTCTGTTCAAACGTGGGCTATTTGCTTCATATCCATTCTTACAAATAAGGGACAAGGTTAAAATTCTAGCACATAGCAAATAGAGATTTTACTCTTCTGGGAAGAACAGCCAGGAAGCAGACACTCCCGCTGCTGACATTGCCCCCCCTCCCCAGGACTCTGACTGGACAATGGCTAGGCCCTGTCAGCTGTTCAGCTCACATTTTTCTGGCCCAACGTTGCAGAGGGAACTGTGTTCTCCTGAGATCTCCATCCAAAGGGAGGGGAAATGTAGTTATAAGAAACTATAAGGAAGTAATAGAGCATCTTGATGTTTTTCTTTGAAAAGAGCACAATAAAACATTTGCATCAGCTACTTCTGAACGTACTACTTTCTTCCCCACATCATGCCAAGTAATGGAGGAGGAAATGATGGTAGACAAGATGAAGGGAACCCAAAGGGAAAGGGTTAAGGAAGAAGAGAGAAAAGAGAAGAGAATGGAGGAAAGATTACAGAAATAAGAGGTGGGGGTGAGGAGAGAGGTCATTTCAAACACAAGAAAGAGGAGCATGGTAGGCAGGAAGGAACAAGACCCATGAGAGAAAAGGGCAGAGTGTTGGTTCCAAATTGAGCAAATGACTGCACTATTTTAGAACAGTCTGCTTTCATTTGGGCAGACATCCTTCACCTGCCACTCACTGGACATCATGCCATCCTACCATCTGTAGTGGAAAACACCAGATTCGCCCATAGGACATTGTTACTGCCATCTATGAGTTCAAAGGGGACCTATAATCTACATTCCGCTTATGCACAAGGGAGTGGGTGGTAGCAGGAAGCCAAACTATTGATCTATTGATTCTGCCATCCCCCTGCATTACACCAGGCCTGGTCTCTAGCAGATAGATGTTCATTACATTCTTGGATGTTCTACTTGCTGAGTTTTGGTATTAGTGCTGTAAATATGAATAAAGGCAGGGGCTACTTCCTGCTAGGGAGAGAAGAGGCCAGCCTAGGTTTCCTAAAGCTGGCTGTTTGAAGGGTGGGTGGGGTTTTCATGAACCAGCTCCCAGTGTGCAGCAAAGGGCACAGTTCGAAGTTGCAGAGCTAGGGTAGAGTCAGGGCTTGGAAAATCCCAGGTTAGCTGATTATAGGGTGTGTATTAGAAAGATAAGAAAGAGCTCGGTGTCAGATTGTCCTGGTCCTTGAAAACAGACAAACAATTCAGCCTTAATTCTGTAGGCAAAGAGAGAGATAAGCATTAGGAGTGCTTTAGCAACTGAGTGGCAGATCTGAGGAAATGTGGAGAAAGTGTCATCTGTCCACTGCAGTTAGGAATGACTGTCCTGGAGGGGCTTGCGCAGGGATTAGAAAGCACATTCTGTAATTCTACTCTTGACCTAATCACCTGCAGTTCAACATGCAGATGCCTGGGCCCTGAACATGCTTTATTTCATAGCTCTGGGATCTGGGCTTAAATAAGCTACTCAGGTATTTAAATAAGGTAATTTTCCTGTGCATGGAAGCTAGCTCAAACGGGTTTAGAGATGGAACCAGTGAGCTGTGCCTTAGTTCCCTATTGTTTTGTAACAAACAAGCCCAAATGTAGTGACTTCGCACAACACAAGTGTACTTACTGTCTTGAAGTAGATCAGGAATTCAGGAGTGGCTTAGCTGAGTGGTCTCATGAGTTCACGGAGGTGATCCAGGTCACCCTGGGGTTGGAAGTCCACCCCTGAGGCTGCGGGCCTCATTCTTCCCAGGTGAGCTGCTCCACAGACTTACTGGTGGCATGGCAGTTGCCTTTGCTCAGCGTGAACGTGGCAAGGGTGTAGGAAAGGTGGAGATGGACAAAAGAAGGGTGGGGTGAGAAAGACCGCAAAAGACAGGAAATACCAGATATTTCTTAACCTCATCTCCCTAAGATGTTTCTTAACCTAATACCATTACTTCTACATTCTCTTGGACCAATGGTGATACAGGGAACTACTCAAGGATGTGAAGGGTTGGAGGCTAGGAAGGTTGAAGAAAACTTGGATTTCAGGTTAGGATAGGAGACAAAAATCCATAACCTAGGTGTGAGCAGGTCCCGAAATTACAATATGTGGTGTGAAAGAATCTGAGCTAATAGGTGTGAATCCTCACTGCAGACAAAAAGTATTCTAAGGATTTTATTACTTACTGTCTTCTTTAATCCTCACAGCAATTTAATGATAATTTAATGTCTGTCCAGAAAGGGAAACTGAGGTACAGAGAGGTTAGGAGCACAGGGCAGAGTGCCGTTAAAAAGAAGAACTTACCAGAAGTTAGAGAGAGGCTGAGAAGGTACTGGCCTATTATCAGTAAGTACCCCGTGGAATTCTTAGGGCTGATAAGCTGCCCTGAGCAGTCCAACTTCCTTGTCCTCCTTTAGAGGAAAAGAGACTCAGAGGCTAAGCAGAGGGATCATACCCAGGCCAAAAGCACCATGCAGCGCAGACACTGCAGTGGTACAGAACCTTACACCAGGAATCCTTCTTGGCTGGGTCCTTGGAATGGTTTCTAATTAGCTGGTTTTTTTCCCCCGTAAGGTGAGGTCCAATCTCTGCTCCCAGGCTGCTCTTACTTTCAGAATCTTCTCCAGTCTGGGATGGAGGACACTTTATTCTCAGACCAGCAGCACAGATTTCTGAATAGATCTGGTCGGCTGAAGAGAGTCCTGTTGTTCCTGTGTGTATATAATGTACACATATGTGACTATATGGTCGACAATGGAAAATGCCTCCAACCTTTCCACCTTACTTCTGCAAAGCTTTCCTCATCTGGTTCACTCTCCGCCCCCCCAAGTCTCTCCAGGCACCATCAGGACCCCTTGGGGGGATTCACAGAACGTCTTCCTTTCCTGTCCTTCCCTTCCCCGCTCCTCACCCTTCTCCCCCGTTTTCCTTCTATGTCAATTGCCCCCTCCCCCCTTGATCTTGCCCCGCAAAACCACACCTTGGATTGACAAATAACCCAGAGTTTGATAATTGACTTAATGTCAACAAACGAGGGGAAAAAAAAGGAAGCCGGAGAAAGGCTGGGGCAGAGCCCAAGGGAGGTGAGCCGACGTGGCCTGCAGAGCCGCGTCCCGGCAGGCCTGCCCACCGCCACAGACAGGTCCACCTGGCCAGCCGGGGCGCCCGGGGTGCCCGGGGGCAGGGGAGCACAGCTGTTATCAGTAACCTCCACCCCACCCCACCGACGGGACGGGGCTACGCCGTCGCAACCAGCACCTCGAGTCAGGGAAGAGTGGGGAGACCCGGCAGCCGGCCCGGGGCGCAGCTGGGGCCGCGGACGCTGGCCGCCCGCCCTGGAGCGCGTCCAGCTGCGGGTGGGGCCGCAGCGCGCCCCGTCAGTCACCCGGGCCTGTGGGCGCGGCGGGGCGGGCCGGGCCGGGCGCCCAGTGCCCTCCCAGCCCGAGTGTTTGTCCGGCCGCCTAAGGGGCTCCTGGTGCTTCTTGTAGTTCCGTCCTGGGGTTCAGCTGAGCCAGGCGCTCCCGGACCCACGCAGGGCGCGGAGCAGGTAGGCGGCGCGGTGGGGAAGAGGCTGCGTGGAGGCTCCGGGGAGAAGGTGCGCGCGTGGCGGGCGCCGTGGAGAGGGGCGCAGGGCGGCCACGCGGCCGGGGCCCGGGCCCGGTGGCCACCCCCGGGGCCCGGCCCCTCCCTCCGGTCCCTCCTCCGCCGCCGCGCCCGGGGCGGGCTCAGGTGCCGCTGGGGCCGGGAGCGCGGCGCGGCGGCGGGCGGCCGGTGTCCGGTGTCGGTGTCCGGTGTCTGGAGCTGCTGGCTGGGTGAGGGGTGGCTCCGGGGAGCCCCCCGGCGGGAGGGAGGTCGCGGCCGCGGGGGGACAGGTGGGAGAGCTGTGCGCACGCTGGCGCCCGGCAGGGCTGGGGGTGATGACCCGCGTCCGGGCGGGAGTTTCTAGACGGTTCTGGGACTGGCTCCGCCGATCGGAGGTCGCACACCCGGGGTGGGGTGGGGGGGATGGAGGGGGAGAGAGTTCCGGGAACCGGCTTCAGCGCGCGCGGGCCGCAGTCCCGGGGCGCCTTCCTGCGCGCGCACCCCGGGGGCGCCCCCCGCACCCCTTCCCCTCCCCGCGGCCCGGGCGCGGTGGGCGCGGCCGCGTCTCCACCCCGGGGCGCGGATCCCAAATTGGGTGCCAGTCGGCTCGGCGGTGACTTCCCTCGCCACGCAGCCCGGGGCCTGGCCCAAGCCTTTGGGGTTGGGGGCGCCAGAGAAAGGGGCGGTTACAGCGGTCTGCGAGGGGTCCCAGACGCAAACCGACCCCGCCTGTTGGTAAGCTGGGATTCCTCTCGCCTCCTCCCCAAGCGCCCATTTATTGGGTGTGTATTGAAAAATTAACTTGATAGGCTCTCTGTTGCTTGAATAAATAAGTAGAAGGTAAACTGGGCCCCAGCTTGGTCCTAAGAGGAAGAAGCTTCTAGGCCAGTCCATACCCACATTTCTGAAGACACTGACAGCAAATTGCAGCTCACCCACAAAACCAGCCCTTTTGCTGGTAAGTGAAGGCTGAGCGTTGGAACGAGATGACTGGAGGTCGGCGAACTGTTTCTGAATAATTAACACCACGGTGTGAATACTGCTTTCCTGATGTGGGCTTCGCCCCAGGCCTTTGGTTTTTACGGTGGAGACCGCAGAACGATGCAGGGCACACAAGGTCTGTGGAAGGTTTGGGAATCAGGGCCAGATCTCTGAACGGATCGTGTGACCCTGCAGACGTGGGTTTTGAGGATGCGCCGCAGGTGCGGGCCTGTTGTTTGCCTGCTCTCTGTTTTAAGAAAGGCCCTGCAGAAGAAAACCCAGTGAGCTGGGTTTTTCTTGGATTGGGTCTTGAGTCACTGTAAGTATATTAGACAAGGAGACAGGTTTCCAGTGAAACGATGTTAGTCAGGGCTGGCTGTCCCATCAGGGAGTGAAAGTGGGAAAATCCCTGGTTAATAATTTCCTCATTTTGATTTCTTATCCCCTCCTGGCTCACTTCCTCTTCATCGCTTCACAGCCGATGATATCACAGAATCCAGAGGTCAAAAAGATGGTTGGACTAGACTGGCTCTCACTTCCCCGATGGGGAAACTGAGTCCAAGGACATTAGGAATGACAGCTCAGGGCCCCAGGCCTCTAGGTGCCAGACAGAATTGGGAGTCTCGCTGGAGTTCTGTTAGGAACCTGCTGTGTTGGAATTTGCCATGGTCAAGTCTTGGAGTGAGGGGAAAGTTAATTCACCCCAGGCCAATCAACGGCCACACGGAATGGCATGTATAATCAACAGCTGAGCATAGGCACAAATAAGACAGTTTGCCTCTGAGGAAGCCGGTGCCTTTTCAAGATAGACTCCTTCACTTTAATGCTAGACATGCTTGTTTTCTGCGAAACAGAACAGTAGGAGCTTAGACACCACAGCCGGGTGGTTCTGGGACTACTCTGCACATCTACAAGACCTTTTGAAGGGTCTCTAGTGTTTGGAAAGGGATGTTGGGGAGACTAAGTAGAACAAAAACAACCATATAATATCTACACAAGGGCAGACAGCTCCTTGCTGTCCTTCCTGGGCCTCCCCTAAGCCCCTCTACCAATCGCTAGGTGACCACCCCATGAAAGGGGCTTGCTCAGGTTCACTTCAGTGCAGAATCTCCCCTGCCATTTGCAGGTGTTTATTCTGAAATTGCACACCTGCTACCATGTCCTGATGATGTGCTAATTCTGGGTTCACAGAAAAACTCACCAGAAGTCTTCCATGTGGTAGGGGACAGTACAGTATATAGAGAGCTCGCCTCTCCTGCTCTGTCACCTTCTATCCATTCATCTTCTGTGGTCCCTCTTCCTCATCTGGGAAATGGGACCAAGTGGCAAGAGTTAGGGTGCACTCTGAGAGAATGCATGCCGAGTACTCAAGGCAGAGCCTGGCTCTGTGATGGTGGGAGGGGGGGGTTCCTCTGGGTGGGGGAGGAGAGGAGTGTGAGTTGGACACTCTTAGTTTTAGGCTTTCCCAGCCCCTTAAACAGGATTCACCCTATTCAAAATGGGGAACAGTGTGGAAACCTCAGCCCTCACCACCCTTCTTTTCTGTGGGTGTCAACCTCCACAGTCATGGAATGTACCCCTCCCCCCTCCCTCAGAGGAGCACTTCCTGGAATGTTCAGGAGCCTTCCACTTTGTTTTGCTTTGTTTTTCTATTTTATAACCACTTCATCTAGGCGCTGTGGAAGAGTGTCCTCTCCCGGCCTCTTCTTCAGTGTGGTGGTACTGGGCTCTACCCCGTGAGAAGGTGCTAGAACCAAGGAGTCAAGAAATCATTCCAGGACATCAGCACCACAGAAGCCTTTTAGGGTCATCTCAAAGAAAAATCTGGAAGGCTTCTGCCAGAGGAACCTGGAATGGGCCTCACCTGCTTTTAATGCTTTTTAAACTTTCTCTTAATGTTTTGTTCCATGGGAATTCTAGGAGTAGAATGCTGTAGCAGAGAATGGGGGTGAAGTAGGAAGAGTGGCTGTTTCAATAAAGGTCCCTGCTATATAACAAGTAGTTAGTAGATCTAAGTGCCGTCTTTGCCAACCATGCTGGGGCACCGGCTCACTGAGTATGCTCATCTCAAGATGATGGATCAAGAAGCAGCTTTTCAGTGAAAAGGAGGAGGAAGAAAAGGAAAAGGGGATTTCCAAGCCATAAGAGGAACATTAGAAAGTCAGTGAAGAAAATAAGAGGAGTCAGAACTATTGTGGTTATGACACCATGGCTGAGGGACTAGTCTCAAGTTTAAGAGTGTTTGAACCTAGCCTGGAGAAACAAGACATCTGAGAGGCCATGACTAGATGGCGAGATTACTGAGACATTCTAAACACCACAGCAGTAGTCGGTTTCTTAGAACACAATGAACACTCCTCCTACAACTCTCCTCACAAGTTATAATAAGACTTTTGTATTTGCCATGATATTAAAATGATTTAAATCTACTTTTTTTTCCAGTGTGGAAATATATGTATAATTTCCTGTGTGTGTGTGTGTGTGTGTGTGTGTGTCCTGGTACTAGGGCTTGAACTCAGGGCTTTAGCTTTTTTGCTCAAGGTTGATGCTTTACCACTTGAGCCATAGCTCTACTTCTGGCTTTTTGGGAGTTAATTATAGATAAGAATCTCATGGACTTTCCTTTCCAGCTGGCTTTAAACTGTGATCCTTAGATCACAGACTCCTGTGTACCTAACAAGCATAATTGGCACCCAACTCCATAATTTCCTTCTGATGATAAAAGTATGAAGGTTTGGGAGAGAGAGAGAGAGAGATTTGATTTGATTTTTTAAAATTATCTTTAAGGGCTGGGAAGGTGGCTTAGTGATAGAATGCTTGCCTTGCATGCATGAAACCCTGGGTTCGATTCCTCAGCACCACATAAGCAGAAAAAGCCAGAAGTGGCGTTGTGACTCAAGTGGTAGAGCACTAGTCTTGAGCTGAAGAGTTGAGGGACAGTGCCCAGGTCCAGAGTTCAGGCTCCACGACCAACAAAAAAACCAAAACCAAAACCAAAAAATTATCTTTAAGTAGTTGTACAAAGAGCTTTTGATTCAATATGTCATTTTGAATAGAATATCTTGATCACTGTCATCCCTCCCATGGTTTTTTAGTTTTTATTTTAACTCAACCATGTGGAAATGTGTAGAGTGATGGCTCCTGTGGTATTTTCATGTCACCATTGCACATGCCTGAGTCCATGGCTTCTTTCTAAAGGAGCCTTGTAATCATCTTTTATTTTTGTGCTTATTAATTAATTTTGATTTTTTAATTAAATTTTTTGATGGTCCTGGGTGGGTGGTGTTGCTGAACTTCTTTTGCCCAAGGATAGTACTCTATCACTTTTTTCTTTTCTTTTTTTAGTCGGTCGTGGGGTTTGAACTCTGGGCTTGGGTGCTGTCCCTCAGCTCTTCAGCTCAAGGCGAATGCTCTACCACTTGAGCCACAGCGCCACTTCCGGTTTTCTAGTGATTTGTTGGAGATAAGAGTCTCATGGACTTTCCTGCCTGGGCTGGCTTTGTACTTTGATCCTCAGATCTCAGCCTCCTGAGTAGCTAGGATTATAGGCGTGAGCCACTGGCACCCCACCACCTGAGCTACAGCACCACTTCCAGCTTTTTCTGAGTTTATTGGAGATAAGAGTCTCACAGACTTTCCTGCTCAGGCTGGCTTCAAACATGATCCTCAGATCTGATCTCGCTGAACTAGCTAAGATTATAGGCGTGAGCCTCCAGTACTTAGCTGTAATAATTTTTTATAATAATGATAATAATCTTTTATCAATCAAAGATCCTTTATTACAAAGCCAGTGACCTCTGCCTCTCCCGTTATGTGTCTGACCTGTGAATCTAGCGTTTTTATTAAATGAGGTTATCTGGAAAAGGGACCTCTCAAATTGGTGACCTTGGAACTGGAGGTGTTGCTCAAGTGGGAAAGGGTTGGTGCTGAGAGAAAAGGCCCAGACTGGTGGCTCAGAGTTCAAAGCTGCTGACCTAGCATGTAGGTGCCTGATCTCTGCTGCACTCACAGATTTTTAGGGGGGTGTTTGCAGAATATCCTTTTATGAAGGTGAAGGGGAAAGTCAAAAACTGTACTGTGGTGTAATTTTTATTCCTTTTTTTCCCCCCTTTCTTTTTATGGGGGGGGGGGGGGTGTCTGGTTGTGGGGCCTGAACTCTGGGCCTGGGTGCTGTCCCTCAGCTCTTCAGCTCAAGGCTAGCACACTACCACTTGAGCCATAGCACCACTTCCAGCTTTTTTTCTTTTTCCTTATGTGGTGTTGAGGAATCAAACCCAGGGCCTCATGCATGCAAGGCAAGCGCTCTACCACTGAGCCACCTTCCCAGCCCACCTTCCCAGCCCTTCCCCCCTTTCTCGAGCATGGCTCAAGAACATCTCTGCATCATTTCCTAAATGTTATTTTCTTTTGGAATAGGTTGGAGAGAGGGAGCTTTCTAATTTCTTTCTGTGCTCTTTTGTTGTTCTTGTTAATTCCCTTTTCAGCCATCCAGTTGGTAGTTTGGTAGGCTCTGAGGTCATAATATGTTTGCACAGTTGGGTGAAGACCAAACCTCTGTTAAATTTTTGTTTCCCCAAGATTTACCTATACAAAGTTAGGATTTGTTCAGTTTCTTTCTGTCAAAGTATCTTTGGAAATGATAGGATAGACATTCCCTAAAATCTACAAAGCAGGGCCCAGGTTGTGTGTGTGTGTGTGAAATCTTATTCAGGACTGGGAAGGTGGCTCAGTGGTACAGACCTTGCCTCACATGCATGAGGCCCTGGGTTTGATTCCTCAGCACCACATAAGCAGAAAACGCCGGAAGTGGTGCTGTGGCTCAAGTGGGAGAGCGCTAGCCTTGAGCTGAAGAGCTGAGGGACAGCGCCCAGGCCCAGAGTTCAAGCCCCATGACCGACAAAAAAAAATGTTATTCCCCCTGAAGTGAAAAGTGATACTGTATTTCTTTCAAGCTTCTTTGGTAGCCTGCTCTAGCCCAGAGCAGACTCCTTTACTGCACCTGATGTGAGCTGCTGTTCTTTGCAGGTTTGTTGAGTGGCATTTGCCACAGGTGTGTGGAGCCATCTCCCAGGAGCCAGTGGCTGCAATTCCGCCCCAGTTGGTCCGAATTGCTGGGCTGTTGCCATCTCTGCTTAGGTTGGTGGACACACTCAAGTGCCAACCTGGCTGCAGGTTGGCACAACCTGCAGGCCATTTCCAGGAACTTTTGCCGCAGGTGTCAAAGACTGCCCCGCAAAGATGCTGAGACAGATACTGGCGGAGATGTACATCGATCCGGACCTCTTGGCGGAGCTCAGCGAGGAGCAGAAACAGATCCTGTTCTTCAAGATGAGGGAGGAGCAGATCCGACGATGGAAAGAAAGAGAAGCAGCCATGGAAAGAAAGGAGTCCTTGCCAGTGAAATCCAGACCAAAGAAAGGTAAACCTAGCCACTTGGGTGCTGTGCCCACGCTGGCAGCCCGGTTCTGTCCTGTAAGAGCTCACACCAGATGCAAGCTGGCCAGGTGTGAGTTGTGATTTTGTGCAATTCTGCTAAATATTTTTGGGATTCTGATGGTGCAGTTTATCAAGTTGGTAAACTCAAAATCACACACACACACACACACACACACACACACACACACACACACACAGAGTGTGTAACCATGGAGTTGTATAACGTTAAGCAGATCTTTTACTTTAAAACGGACTGACCTTAAGCTGCAGTAGAAAGTCACCTCTAGGGAACCAGCGCAGCTCAATGGTCGAGTGCCTGCCTAGCATGCATGAAGCCCCGAGTTTCATCTTTCACACTGGGGGAAAAAACATCACCCTAGAGTTTAATTTTCAGGACATTCAGGAGTTCTCTTATCTGCCTCATTGTTAGGAAGGCCCAGCGTTCCATTACCAGCATGAAAAGAATTTGTTGCCACATCTTTAAAGCAATTCTGTTTGTATTTCATAGACCTCAAAAGAGTTTTCTCTGAGTTACCATTTTTTTTAATCATTGCCCTCTTAAAATGTAAGGAGCTGCTTTAAGGAGAAAAAAATAGTTGTTCTCTCTCCCTCCTTCCCTCCCTCCCTAACTTTCCTTCCTTCCTTCCTTCCTTCCTTCCTTCCTTCCTTCCTTCCTTCCTTCCTTCCTTCCTTCCTTCCTTCCTTCCTTTCTTTCTTTCTTTCTTTCTTTCTTTCTTTCTTTCTTTCTTTCTTTCTTTCTTTCTTTCTTTCTTTCTTTCTTTCTTTCTTTCTTTCTTTCTTTCTGGGTTCAGATATGTTTCCTCATAACTAAAGGAACTCTTAGGAGTTTGAATGGGATCTTTTGAGACTATGGGAAGTAAATTCTTTTTACATAAAGACTTAAAGAACAAGCCAGGCACCAGTGACTCATGCCTGTAATAACTACTCAGGAAGCAGAGATCTGAGGATCACAGTTTGAAGCCAGCCCAGGCAGGAAAGTCTGTAAGATTCTTATCACTAATTAATTACCACCCTCCCCACCCCCCAAGAAGTAGAGCTATAATTCAAGTGGTAGAGCACTAGCCTTGAGCACAAAAGCTCAGGGACAGTGCTCAGGCCCTGAGTTCAAGCCCCAGGAACAGCATGCGTGCGCTCGCACACGTGCACACACCCACACAACACAGACTCAAAACACATACATATACAAACAGAAAAATAGACATTAACATTTCCTCATCTCCCTGACTCCATACACAGACTCTTTCCTAGATGACTACCTAAGTTGTTAATAAACAACACAACTTTCAAGGTCATCTAGAGAGGCATTCAATATCAATTTGCTCTCCCTTTTTTTCTTTTATTAAGCCAGTGGAAAATGTTATAAAATCACCCTGGGTTTTGAGGGTTGAACAATTGAATCTCATTTGCATGCTTGGTGTAGACACTCACATTCAACATCAGCTAAGTGACTTTCACCTTGTTCTGTACTTTGCTAAAACTTTTTCCTTGTGCTGATAAGGAAATAAATATGAGTATTTCACATATTGTTTTATTATGTAACATATGCAACATAAGGTAAACAATATAAAAACTGCCTATGCTGGCATTTCAATACAATGTAAAACACTTTTATATACATTTATATTTAATGTTGGTCTCAATTTTCCAGTTTAATAGGCAAAGAAACTGAAAGAAAAGTAACATACAAGGTCACACTTCTAATACTTTTGTTTGTAATTAATTTTTTTCTTTGTCCCTTTGTTCTTCTCACACAAGGCTAGTATTCTTCCACTTGAGTTCCATTTCCAGCTTAGTGGTGGTTAATTGGAGAGAAGAGTCCCTCAGGTCTGGCTGCCTGGGCTGGCTTCAAACCATGATCCTCAGATCTCAGCCTCTTGAGTAGCGAGGATTACAGGTGTGAGCTACCAGTGCCAGGCCACCTAATTGATCCCAAGATCTGTTGGATTTCACATTGTATTATCCAAAATTGATATTTTTTCCTTTTGAAAAATAAACATCCAAACGGCAGCATAGTTTTCTGAGCAGGTTCATGCACCTCTTTGCCTGCCTTAGAGATTGTTGGGTATAGCTGGGTCTCTTCTGAATGATGAGTATGTTAATGTGGGAGATGAAGGGCTCTTCCCCCTTGAGCAAGAAGCCCTGTCCTTTATTAGACTTTGAGCTGCTTCTCATGTTTGCTGAGTTGCTCTCCTCATGATAACATCTTGCAGCTTCTTTGCTTCAGTTTTCCCTTGCCAAGTTTTGGATCTAGCTCTCAGAATATACCTATATTACTTATTACATGACCATGACAAAGTAGTGTGTTGATACACACTCAGAGTTCTATCCACATTTCTTATCAGCCTTGCTGAATACCATATGGAAAGATGTGGTTTGCGTTAAATTGGTTCCTCTTCTGAGGTTTCTCACACTTGCCCTAAAACCAAAGCACGTCTCTGTTCCTCATCTTGCTCTGCCTTTGAGGAGAGAGCTGCAGACAATCCACAACCACATTGCAATGTCTGGGCCTGCCCAGAGATGCTGTCTGGAGCTGCAGAATTACTGAACCTGTGGCCCTCGGGTGCCCTGGCTTCCCCACACCCCTGCTTCCTTCTAACCTGTGCTCCAAGCCTCTCTCAGGCCACTAAAAGTAGATGAATTCAGCTTGTCCAGGATCCTATAGATGTTTGTGATCCCAGCGTCTGTTTTGGTTGCTTGCTTTTCAATCCCAGTGCTTCTGCTTGGCCCACACATTATTAGGCTGCCCAAATGCAGGCTTTGCAGTCATGAAGACTGATTCTGAATCCTGATCTCAATGTGCAGCAGCTAGCTGATCTTGGATAGTTACGTAACTCTCTGAGCTTCAGTGGCCCCCCTATACACAGTGTAGTGTAATATATGTAAAATGGTGTAGCGTGGTATTTAATGAGAGATAGGATGTGGGCATACATCATTCAGGAGCGACATGGCCATAGCTCTGGAGACCCAGACCATCCTGCCATCCAGAATCGTCTTTTGGTTTCTGAGTGAGCTGGAGGAGAAGAGAGGAGAGTTTCTGAGAGGCGGAGAGATGGAAGATATTATCTGAGACACCAAGGCCAAAGGTTGTAGAAGTATAGTAGTATTTTAACCACTATACATAGATTAGTTTCTATTGTATTTATACTCAGCCCTTTGTATCTGTGGATTGTATATTCAGGTCTTCAACCAAATCAAAAATATTAAAATCACATCTGTAGTGAAAATGTATACTCAGTTTTTCCCGTGCCCTCATTCCCCAAACAATATACTCGAAGAATTATTTACACGATATTTATGCTGCATTGATATCATCAGCAATTTAGACATTTCTGACCTTCCAGGATGCGATTCCAGATATCTCCTGGATATCTTCTTAAAAATGAAAGTAGTTATTTATTCTACATTCCCAAACAGCTAATTATTACTCTCCAGGTTTATTTTCTGAATGTCACTATTTCTGCCCATTACCCTATTGTGCTTCCAGCTGGTGGTTTCTAAGTGTTGGCCTTGGCTGGGTGTGGTGGTGCATACTTATAATCCCAGCTACTCAGGACACAGAGGCAGGAGCACTGTGAGTTTGAAATCAGACTAGGAAAAGGTATCATCAGATCCGATTTTGAAAATGAAATTAATGATGATGATGAAAGCACTTGGGGGCATGGGCCAAGGGGTAGAGTGCTTGCCTAGCTGGCTCAAGGCCCTGAATTGAATCCCCAGTACTATAAAGTATTAGCCTCACATTTTGTGTCTTAACTTGGATCCAGCCTTATTGTCTTTTTAGGATTTTCCATGTAGAATATGCATTTGCTGAGGGGATCTACCTCCTGTGTGGCAGTCAACATGGAATAAGAATCCATTCTATAAATAACCTAGTTAGTGTCTGGCTGTCTCTCTTGGAGGAACAGCCCCATCTCTCTCATCCCTGTATGGCCTGAGCATCAAATTCACTGTGCTGAACTTCATTCATCATCTCGGTAGGAAGCCCAGGGTGCCCCAGCTGGTACACTCCATTCAGCTAGCATGCCTCCTGCCTTCCTTTCCCACCTGCAGCTTTTGAGAGTCACGTGGGGTCCCTTAAAGAATGCCTCCAATCTTGTTGCTTTCTGAGCCTGTTGAAGGCCTCCCGGAGGTGAGGAGGCTGAACACCAGATGATCAAGCTGCCCATCTGAGCATCTTATCTATGATTTCTTAATTATCCTCACCTGACTCTCTCAGCATGCACTCTGGTCCCCTCCTTTGCCTCTCCTCTCTACTTCTAGTTCTTTTTGTTCCTTTCCTTGTTACCTTCAATCCTCAGGGCTTACTCTCCCACCCTGGAGCTGTCCCTGACAGCTGTCCCTGCTATGGTGTTTGGACATGGTGCTCAGAGGAACATTTGCAAAGCGTCATCACTGAACGGCCAAATTTCGGAGTTCCTTCTCTTTGTCTCCCCTGGGACACTGGCCCTGACCTCTGTCGATGTCATTCTCCTGCAGTCAGAGAAATGTCCATAGGGAGTTACTTAGATGAAGTTCGAGAAGATAGACATAATAAAATTATTAGCTGCCCTGAGAGAGTGTAATGAGGGGAGTTTTATGAGCTATGACAGCTCCTAAGGGTAATGAGCCATTGAGCATGCCCTGAAACAGCCAGAGCTGTGAAAGGCTGGCCCCAAAGCCCACAGGGATCTGTCTTCTTTCCTTACCTGGATACCACTTCCTCCATTTCTCTATGCTGGAAACAAGGTCAGGTGGTTTCCTTTTAATGATACTTCTTAACCCACTTATAATTTTTACTTATGCATTTATTTTGCTGGTCCTAGTGCTTGAACTCAGGGCCTGGGTGCTGTCCTTGAGCTTCTTTTGCTCAAGACTAGCGCTCTACCACTTGAGTCACAGCACCACTTCCGGCTTTGTCTGAGTACTATTTATTGGAGATGAGTGTCACAGATTTTCCTGCCTGGGCTGGCTTTGAACCACAATCTTCAGATCTCCACCTTCTGAGTAGCTAGGATTACAGGTATGAGCCACTGGCACCCTGTTTCTGAATCCTTTTTATAATGAAGACTATAGGAATATATTCTACCCCCTTCATTGGTTTTGTTTAAATCTTTCTCAGGCTACACAAGAGAAGAGCCAAAACAAATATAAAGCCGGCCTCTGAGCAAATGGTTCTTTTTCTTTTTCTTTTCTTTTCTTTTCTTTTTGTTGGTCTTGGGGTTTGAACTCTGGGCCTGGGCTCTTCCCTCAACTCTTCAGCTCAAGGTGAGCACTCTACCATCTGAGCCACAGCACCACTTCTGGTTTTCTGGTGGTTTATTGGAAATAAGAGTTTCACGGCTTTTCCTGACCAGGGTGGCTTTGAACCATGATCCTCAGATCTCAGACTCCTGAGCAGCTAGGATTACAGGCATAAGCCATGGGTGCCCAGCTAGCAGCTGGTTCTAGTAGAGCATCCTTACACTGATCTATGAAATGGGTTGACAGTGTGGAGACTCTTTCAGTGGAAACCTTTCTCTGCTTAGTAGGAAGAGAAAAAAATGCCATGGCAGTGTGGGTTTCTAACCTGCATGGCGGAGAGTGTATTACAGTTGGCTGTCCTATTTCACACGCTCACTATCACTGGCAGGTTTAGGGTCTTGTCTAGAAACATCTTGGGACCACAATGGCATGTGTAAGTCTACCCCAGGGCATTTAGATTTAGGGACTGTGCCTCTGAACCTCTCTAAGGCAAGCTGGCTCTATGTGGGGTATTTCAGGAAAACAGGAGCTAGAATGTAATACAACCCTGGTCTCAGACCAACTGTAAACATGGGTTATTTAAGTAGCTCCTCCAAGTGTCACTCTACCTGGTAGCATTATCTTCTCACAAGCTGGTGTGAATCTCCAGGCAGCCATGTAAGTAAATAATGATAGCAGCTCACCTCTGTTGAACTCCTAGTGCATGGCAGGCAGCTGGGGAGGGACTTAGCATCCCAGCTTGCCTTCTTCTCCCAGTAGTAGATGGTTGGATTCCCATTTTGCAGATGGGCAAATGGAGTCCTAAAGAGAGAATCATTGGTCCAAGCTACTCAGCTGGTAGGTAGCAGGGCTGGGATTTGAATATAGCCTGTCTGACTCTGAACATATGCTTTTCAACCACCCATGGCACCTATACTAATGGAAATATCAGGCACTTAATTACACAGCTGTGTAATTCTGGATTACAAGGATTTTTAGACTTCCGAGGTTGTGCTGTCAGATGCTAGCTTCCTGATCCCGAAGGGATAATGCAGATCATAAAAAGGCTTTCCTCCTGGACTCACCATCTTCAGTGATAAGATGAGCACATACAGCCATGCACCAGTGGCTCATGCCTGGAATTCTAGCTACTCAGGAGGCAGATATCTAAGGGTCATGGTTTAAAGCTAACTCAGGCAGAAAAGTCTGTGAGACTCTTTTATCTCCAATTAATCACTACAAAAACTTGTGGCTCTGGTGGTAGAGTACCAGCTTTTAGTGCAAAAAGTAAGGGAAAATGCCCAGGTTCTGAGTTCAAGCCATAGTAGTAGCACATGTGTGCATGCACACACACACACACACACACACACACACACACACACACACACACACACAATAAGCATATATAAAAACAAATCCCATAATATTTTAAAACAAATATGATTATTGTCACTGCTCTTTGCTGCCATTGCTGCCTGTGACTACTGCTTGATACTGAGCGGGGTAGAAGAGTTCATCTCCTCTCCTCTCCCCCCCAGAGACCTTCAATAATCATTGCTGGAAAGAATCCATATTCCATAAATGAAGATACTTACTCACCTCAAATGTTTTGCTTTGCTTACAGAGAATTGCAAATCTGTGCACTGGAGACTGGGCGCTGATAAGGAGGTGTGGGTGTGGGTGATGGGCGAACACCATCTGGATAAACCCTACGAGCTGCTCTGCAGCGAGATTACTGCGGAGAGGGCGAGGCTGAGAGCCCAGCAGGACGCAGAGGGGCCCAGGTAAGAACCTGCACACCATCCAGGCACCTGCCTCCTATTAAAAGACCCTACTGAGATGCCTCTTGGTTCGAGTGGGAGAACGAAGTAGGATTTGAGGTTGGCAAAAGTCCTGGTCGATCTCTCTGGAAAGTGTCTTCAGAGTTTCCGAGTTTCTTCTTATTCCCACAGTGCCAGTTCAGGTCTCTGTGTCAATCATGTCTGACTTCCCAGTGCAGCCCCAGTCAGCTGGGCGTCAGGAAGGTCTGTGAGAAGTTCAGGCCTTCCAAGAAGATGGCTCAGATGAGAGCACACGAGTAAGCAGGCTTTCTGGTCTTCTGCTTTTCAGACGCTGGCAGTTCAGAGAGGATCAGGGAGTTTCCTCTAGGAGGCAGATTGGCAGATCCACGATGCAGGCTAAGAGCTGTGGTTGACTTGTAAACAATTCACTGGGCCCAGAGGGGGAACCTATCATCCTGATGCATAGAAGAGGTGAAATCTGAAAGATAAGTTAACTGTCTAGCCACAGAAGGTCAGGAAGGAAAGTGCAGGTGGATTGCATAATTTGAATGGTTCTTTGGAGCCTAATAGCATCCTCTGAGGGCTTGGGGTACAGTTGGGTGAGTGGTAGAACACCATGTCCTGAGATGCCTTGAACACCAGATGTGTAGGATTCCGGAGATGGAGGGGATTTTGAATAGGGAAGTGATATAATCAGCTGGACATAGAAGAAGGTGACTCATTGGGGATATTGAGGCAGGCAGTGATTTCCCTTTGCTGGGTGGCCAAGGTGACCCCTGGGAAGCCACACTCCATCATGGTGCCCTCCACTGAGCTGGTGAGTGGAAGCTGAAAGAGATTTGAGTACCTCTTTAAGTCTTGCAGCCCCTAAAGGCTGGTGCTGACATCTGCCAACTCCTGTGATCACGATAAAGGGAGTATTTACCAACACATCACAGGAAAGCTGTGTGTTCTAGCAACCTAGCTCCATCTAGAAGTTGAGCAGACCTGTGTCTAAATCTTGCCCTGGCCCTCTGGGGTAGGGGTGGGGTGGGGTGAGAGTCCTCAACAAGTTGTAAGATTTCTTAGGGGCCAAGAATAATGCTTTCCCCACAGAGCTGTGGGAAGATTTCAGTCCTGTTTTTGCAGTACCTTGAGGAGGGCCTGGCACCTGATGAAGCACGGTAGTAAGCAATGTATTGTTTTTGAGTGTAGCCACCTGCTTTGGAAAACCTATGTTGAAAATTTGGTGGGTTTTTTTTTTTGTTGTTGTTGGTAATGGTACTTTTGTTTCTTTTCAGAAAAACTCAGTCTGAAGAAGTCAGCAATAGCGTGAAAACACAATCACAGTATCCTGGTCTGCAAGCACTAGATAAGTCAGAGACTCAGAACATCTCTAAGAAAGCAGGAGGAGGGGAATCCGGACAAGGAATTAGACCAGTACCGACCCTGGGAGAAGAAAAAGCTCAAGTGAGTGTTACGGATCAGCACGAGTGCACAGTTCCACCTTGGGGCTGGGGACAGGGGCTGGAGTTGTCAGGGCTGTTGAGACAAAGGTATCCATACCCCAGGCTATCAAAGCAGCACTTCTGGGAAAAGTGCCTCCTGCCTTTAGGTTATTTTGGGAGAACTGAGTCATCTACTTTCTCACACAGAACATTTTCCTTTTCTTGGGATTGAAGGGACTACGAAAGAACTCTAGGAATCAGATTTGGCGTTTGATAGCCATTCCGGGACTTTTTTTTTTTAACCCCATCATAATGTCTTCCGTAGCAGGAATTGGCAGTTTCTATTGCCAGTAGCCACATAGTGAAGAGTGCAGGGATGTTTTTTTATGGGCTTTCTCAAGTACACACAAATGAATGCGTACAGCTGTGCTCCACAAAACCTGCGTGCAGAGGCCGGCAAAAGATGGGCAGGTGCGACTTGGCACATTCTTCTATCTATCTATCTATTTATTTATTTATTTGTGGACTCCAAACGTTGGTATCTTTTTGATTTTATAGATTTCCACCTGTGATTGTGGAGGTAATTATTTCTTCAACACCGTCAAATTTTAGACTCAGAGCTGGTATGACTCCCTGAGGGTCTGGCTGGCTTAGAAAAGCTCAAGCGTTATTTGCTGCATAGATTATGGTTAAGGAAGAACACGAGAAAACTGTATTATAAAGTACTTTGTTCTGCAGGAATGTAATTACACTGTGAATTCACAGAGGATGTGTGGCTGTTTGATTTCCACTCAAGTCCTCAGCTCAGCATGAAGGGTGTGTGTGTGTTCTCCATGCCTATGAGGCTGTCCCATGGGGACACAGTAATCTCTGTCCTGCCTACATCCTGCGTGTGTTAGTACTCTAATAATTAATGTGGACCAAGGCTTAGGCTGTAGCAAAGCAAGTACAGATTGCTGGGTGTCTCATGTGATGCTCACTACTTTACGAATTAACCCCTGCTTGTCCATTTTACAGGTAAGGAAACTGAAGTTAGGTATGGGCAAACAACCTGCCTTTGGTGTTCTTCAAACTCAGGTCTGCAGGATTCCTAGATCACCCCTTAACTATTAACTCTTGGGCTGGATGCCTCATGTCTAAGTGGGATATGAAGAAGTTGTATACAGATTCACCAATATTGTTGGGCACTGGTGGCTCACACCTGTAATCCTACCTACTCAGGAGGCTGAAATATTGAGGAAGACAGTTCAAAGCCAGCCTAGGCAGAAAAGTCTGTAAGATGCTATCTCCAAATTACCCAGTGAATTGACATACTGGAGGCATGCATGGCTCCCATGGTAGAGTAAGGTAGCAAGGTAGCTGGGGAAAGCTAAGGCCCTGAGTTCAAATCCTAGTACTGGCAAAAAAAGGCTTAAAATATATAGCGCCAAAGTAATTATAAATTGTGTTGTATGTGCTGAGGTTACCTGAGGGCTTTCCCCACATGCCCTAGAGATACCCCCAAGTTTTGCCAGATTCAGTGTGTGTAACAACACATCCCCCTTTAAAAGATCTCTAAAATGAAAAAAGAACAATAAACTATCCTAGGTTTATTTTGTGCTTGAGTGGTAGTCTCTTCCTAGTAAATACTTTTCAAAAGTAGGACAAAGGAATAAAATAGAAACTGAATAAATACCGTGATGGTTAGTCTCAAAGCACATCAAAGATATGATAGGGATATTGGACCTGTTCCGTTCCCTAGACATCGGCTAACGGGGTTGGATGGAAAGAGAAGGGAGGGGAAGGAGGCATTTAGATATGCGGAGTATGCAAATAACCAGGAGACAGATTTTTATATTTTGCTTTTCATCTTTCCCCTGTGTCAGGGACCTGTCAGGGTCTCCTGTGGTGCTTACTGAAGTTCACTGTGACAGCAGGCTGCTCAGGAAGGAAGTTCATCTTCACAGTAGTGCTAGCATTTAAATGACAAGTCACCTACCATGTGTGGAGCTCACTTCATGGCAGATTGATATATTTCTTTTTCTTTCACAGGAGGTTGAACTCAGCCTCACGCTCTCACTTGGCTTTTTCAGTTAAATCTAATGCTCTAACACTTGAGCCACATCTCCACTTCTAGATTTTTGCTGGCTAATGGGAGATAAGAATCTTATGGATTTTATTTTTGTCCAGGCTGGCTTTGAATCCTGATCCCTAGATCTCAGTCTCCTGAGTAGCTAGGAGTACAGGCCTGAGCCACCAGCCCCAGGCTCTTCAGATGGATATTTTTATGGTCACCTCTGTCACTACAATAAGTTGATTAGCATCCCCCTCTCCCAACTCATGTCTGCTCACAATGGGAAATTATCTGGAAATAGAGCTTTGCGTATATAATTAAGAATGTCAAGATGAGATCATTGTGGATGGAGGGTAGCCTTTAAATGGAATGACAGGCATCTTTGTAAGAGAAAGCCAGAGGGAGATTTGAGAGATGAAAACAAAGAAAAGAAAGCAAGTGAAGATGGAGCTGGGGAGGAGGTGGGTTGATCTAAGCCAAGAGTCACCAGATCCTAGAAGGGTCAAGAGAGAGACCCTTCCCAGGGTACTTAGAAGATGCTCAGGGTGCCCAAATCCTTGATTCTAGATCTCCAGTATCTGAAAGTGTGAGAGATTGAATATCTGATGTGTTCAGCCATTAAGCTTATGGTTATTTGTTTCAGGAGTTCTAAAAAATGAAAAATTACTTTTGTGTACAGTTTCTCAGAAATGTTGCATCTCGCGGTCTCAATTATAAAGTAGTTATTTGTATTGAGTAAAGACTATTTTGGAGAGACTTACACCCTTTCTGAGATACCAGAAAATAACTTGAACCTGGACTTCTTCAGTTACCCTATTAACTCTTGAGTTTCCTACTTACACAAAGGGAATGTATAAATTGTCTGTGAGACAGAATGATAGCGCAGATGATCACATCCAGAGCTCTATACCCGGGTATACATCACTTCCCATTGGAAAAGGGGACTTGCCTGTGGGACAGAAGAGAAAACCCTTGAGATGGGCAATTGCCTGGAACTAATGGGGTGTCCCAGTTTCACTACATCAATTCCTTAAAATGGAAAAATCTGTTCTGGTAGAACCTGAGTGAGATTTGGCTGTAGAATAATGGGAAGAGAGATCATGACACTGTTGGTTTTGATGAAAAAAAGGATCACATGTGAACCAAGGAACAGAGGCAGGTTCTAGAAACGAAAAGACCAGGATTGCTTCCCAGAAGTCTTCATAAGTAACACAGCTCTGCCAACACCTTGAGTTTAGCGCAGCATGGTCTCTGACCTATGAAATGGAAGGTAATCAATTTGTGTTTGTTAAAACCACTGAATTCATCGTGATTTATGACAGTATCAATAGACAATGTCATAGATTTTGTGATGAGTAAATGAGGTACAAACAAGTAAAACCTGGTATAAAGCTTTTTCTCTGGTACATAATTCACATCAGGTATTTGGTAAGCTCACTCCCTGTTCCCCTACAAGAATTTTAACTTTTTAATGTAGACAAGCCAGGAGACTAAGCCAGGATGATTGGCTTCCTCCATTTTTTCCCATGGGACTTCATTTCCCATTGTGTACTAGGCATGAAGGAGAAAATGGTGATATGGAAGCAGTGGTTGGCTGGAGAGGCAGGGAGATGCTTTCCCTAACACGCAATCTCGAAGGATAATAAGTGATCTGAGGAGAGGAATGAGTTTCTCAGCCCCTATTCTCATTCTCAAGTGGTTGTGGTGAACAGAAGCTGATCTTATATGTGTGAAAGCATGCAAGCTGACTTAGAGTTCATGAAGTTATTTCCTTTCTCATACTGTTAACAATGAAGCAGACAATGCCAGTATTTGCACTTGTTTTGTGCAAATGAAGAAATCAATGTTCAAAGAGATTGTAAGATCTGTCTTCAAGATCTCTTCAAGAGATTGTAAGATCTGTCTTCAAGGACTGTCAAGTCTTTGTTTTGCTTATCTATTTTGGTCCACATTCTCCATCACAAGATGAAATGCTTAGAAAACGACTTACCACCTTCCCCAGCCTTCTTCAGAATTCTCTGCTGGGAAATCAAGGCTAGAGTGCTGACACACATCCAGCACCTCCCCAAAATGGAATTGGATGGCTGAGATGATTCCTTGTAAGTTTTCTTCTAGTTGTAAACATTCACATCTGAAACCCATACCACCTGAAGCCTGAGCAGAAAAACAGAAGTAGGGTTTCTGTAGAGTTTTCTGGTGGACGGACTATTTGGTGAGGTCTACGCAATTACCTAAAAGCAGCAGTTGGGCAGAGATGTGATATGCAAGTTCAAGGTTAGCTCAGCATTATTTTTGTGATAAGAAAAAGTGACACATTCTTCCATCAAGTAACAACCCTGTCTGGACCTGCCTTCTACCAACTCACAAACTTACTGCTTAGGACTGGATGTGGGGCTCATTCCTGTAATCCCAACTCCTGGGGAGGTAGAAGAAGGAGGATTATGGTTCCAGACTGGCTTGTGCAGACAAGTTCATGAGACCCCTTTTCAATCAGAGCAGCGTGTGCCTGGCATTCTGAGCTACATGGGAGGTCAAGATTGGGAGAATGGAATCTCCAGGCCAAGGCAGGCAGAAAAGTCCTCATCCAAACTCCATCTAAACAGAGGGAAGATGGACTTAGTGGCAGGCATCTGTATCCCAGCAGCAATGGGATGTCTAAAGCACTCCTGAGTGGAAGTAGGACCCTATCCTAAAAATAGCCATTAAAAACAGGTCTGGAGGCATGGTTCAGCAGTAAAGCACCAGCCTAGCAAGCAGAAGGCCCCACATTCAAGCCCCAGATGAAGAATTAAAGGGATGCAAAGATGCTGATGAGTGAGGCCCCGTGTGAACAGGCTCCTGTGCCTGGGGGAAAGGAAGAGGAGCTGGAAGGACCCTCTCTCTTCATGACCCCCCTCAATGTGGTCAGTCGTTGGAAAGCCCTCAGCGTGGAGGAGATGGATCCGTACTAGTGCAGCTGGAAGGATGGC